TGACTATAAGGACAAATATGTCTTTATGGGGCATTTTTTCATCTCATTTTTCTGAAGCATAGAGGTTTAATAAATCAAAAGTGATATCTGAAGAGCGTGTATAACATGTTATCGCCTGTAAGTAAAACATTATGTACATGTTTCTTTTTCAATTTAATCATTAGTTTGACTTGTGTATGACTATGTTTGAAGCCCCCCCCCCCCCTCTATAACGTTTCACTGCTTCTTCACTGCTCCGCGGCCATTTCTGGAGTGTAGATTCGTGTACAGGAAGACCCAAAGTTCTTAAAGCGCGGTGGTCGTCGCGCAGCGCGTGTTCAAATTTCATGTAAATAAATAATGTATTTTACACGCGTTGTATATGTTGCTATGTGTCCCATATCGAACAGTGCGCGGCACGACGACGCGCCGCCCTGGGGTTTCATTCTAGAGATGTCATTGAAATCGCACGAAATCAGTTTTGTCGGTTTGTTTTAAATGTACATTCCAATGCTCCTAATCTAAACGCGTGGTCAGAATAAGGCTGGTACTCTGTTCGTACGATCAGATTCGACCTTGCCTGTTGTCGTCATCCCCAGTATCGTCTCCCATACAAGTGTTATTAATACAGAATTAAAGCAGAAAAGGGACAATTCATTCTGGGCATACGATGTCAATTAATTGACATTTTCTGTGGGAACTGGTTAAGCTTTGTATTGGTTTGGTGTGTGGGATGTATTATTAATAATTTTACTTTTTAATTCAAGCAACGTTGTCAAGATATTTGAAAGGCAGATTACTGCAAATTGAGGGAATATTTTTAAAATTCAGATTGTATCTCTACATACACTACATACTGCAGAAAATCGTACATTATTTTTTTTCATAATTTGTACATTTTATATCGAGCTTAGACAAAAAATACCTGCCAAAAATAGAGATTTCTTTAATAATCTATTTGCAGATTTATTTATTTGATAATTCTAAGTAAATTCTTTGTAGCTATTTGCAAAATTGTCTTGTTAAAGGATAAACCTGCTCATAATTGTTTGAGAAACTTGGCCATAAATCGCATGACAGTGTTCATTGGTCTATTTTGTAAAATCGTGAAGATATTGTCCCAAATTTGCATATTTTGACATTTTTTATAACCCAGATTTTTGAAATAGATAACAATAAGTACCTCATCATTAACAATATATGTCACCAGTCTACAATTTGAGATATGCATAATATCTTTGAAATATGAACCTATGGTAAAAGCGTTATAATACTGCCAAAATGGCAATAATTTCCCCGAAAATTAAGCTGGGGCCCCATTTTTTGTAATCAATATCCTTATAATTTCCGGAAGTACAATTTAATGAAAAATAAATAAACTCTTGGTATTTGTATTCATGCGTAGGCTTCAACGCTTAACAATATATGTAACCTTTCTCTGTACACGGGTACATTAAATATCATTATCATATGTAACAACGGCGACAAAAATGAATTTGTTTTG